TGATGTAAATGGTTCTTTTCTTACATTCTAATGTTGAGCAAATGAAATCACGTATTTACATGCACAAATAAGTGGAAATTTTGCTGATTTTTTTATCAAGTTTTCGACTTCTTGCCATAATAGAATAACATTTCAACGAAAATGTAATGAAAAGTAAGAAAGCGTATTATGTCGTCAACTATAGATCTCAAGTCTCTCTATCTGAATCAAAGATCAAAATCGAAATTTCATCTAGATGGAAGGTCATTTTCATGCATTCTTTTGTACGTTTTTCGAAAATGTTTAGTTTTACAAGAATTTCGTCTGATACTTTATTGGAGAAGAAGACGTCCTGAATTCCCCTCTTTCAATTGATGAAAACTGCAGCTCTCTAGCTCTTTTCGTTCTTGAGTTATTTCAAATATGCTCACGGTCACTCTATTTTTAGACAGGCATTAGTTATCAATTAAGTCACCGGTACAACATGCTTACTTCTATAGTATCAATCAATTGTTCTAGAGTAACAGCAAGAAATATTAAAAAATTATTACTGTGAAAGGGTAGAAATGACAAACTATTATTTTTAATGTATACTTATTCAACTCGAAATATATTCAATAAACTTTACATATATTGAATTATCTTCTATATAAAATATTGGCTTTACAAGTATTTTTGGATTCATTGAAAAAATTAACTCATTATTCACATCAACATTTGATCGATTTCATTGATGTATTTTGTCATTTGAGCGAATAGATAGCATAGTCTATTTCCATATTATGACTGGCAGAAAAATGGTATCATTCTTTTTTCCTATGTAAAACCTTGACTTTATACTTAAATAAATATGAACACTCTTTCTCTATCGTTATCTCGATCTTTCATATATAAAATTGTAATAGTTTTTAACAATTTTTTTTTATTTCTAGATAAAATTAAGTTCTTTTGTAAATATAATAGACACGTATTCATTCATTTCTTTTAGAAAAATATTCTTTATTGTCACGTAAAAGAACATGATTTTTAGTTTTAATAATCTATGTGATAAAGATCGATTACAAAAAAATAATGACTATTGCGCATGTATTTTCATAGTTATCTTAATAATAGATTAAAATAGTAAGGCATTTCACCTTCAATTGACGTCATAGTGCATTTTTACACTCTTATCATCTTTATATATATATATATATATATTTTGTTCTTATCAAAAAGCTCACAACACTTTTTTATTTTTATAGATTGATTAAAAAAAACAAAATATAATGCGAACATTATTAATTTTTCTTTCAATTGGTTTATTTTTAACATTGATACATTATTCTGCTGGTAGTTGTATTATTTTCTGTCTTTGTAACTTTTTTATTCATTGATTGGTTTGTTTTTTTTATAGCAAGAAAACCTGATTCTTGGGAAAGTGCAGAAGATGATCATGTAGAAATGAAAGATAAGATTAATTCGGAATCAAACGACGATAGTAATGATGAAAGTGACGAAATTGATATGAAAGAAAAATTTTATGCAGATCGATTCAATGTAGATGATCAAGGAAGAGAAGGAAAAAATCAAGATATTGAAGATGTTGAACTTGAACAAAATCCAGAAGAATCAAATAGTCATAGCTTTGAACATAATCAGAAGGATTATAGTAAAATCTTACAAGATAGTGATGAAGATTAAATTATCTTGATAAATATTCTTTTGGAACTTGATTTAATCAGTGTCTTTTTTTTTGCTATTATATGATGTACAAGTCGTATATTCATTGAAATAAATATTTCCTTTTAAGCAAAAATTCTGATTCTTAATCAATTTTTGTCCAACAGAAATTAATCTATTATTGAATATATAATAATAAAACAATCATAAAAATTTTATTGCTATAATTTGATACTTAAAATCAAGCCATATTTGAGTCATTGATTGTCTCAAATCATTTTAAGAATGTTGTTATAGTTCTCAAATTTAAAAACTAAAGGCAAGTCATTTTATATATTTAACTGTATGACGTAAATTGTTTTAACGTGTTTATTCTTGACTATCTTCAAGCTAATCATCAATAGAAAGTTTTACTGAATAGAAAAACTGTATTCTGTTCTACTAATAAGCATAAATAATTTTTTTTTTAAATACTTTTAGAATAATTGAAACAAAAAGAACTTCGTAATTAAGGATAATCTCACTTTCAAGTATTGAATGACATTGAAAATTTATTACATAGATTATTAAATGATTTACATATACTTTGCTATAAAGATGAACATAGATATTATTTCTGATTCGTTATGTCGATTATCTGAACTATAAAGATGAAGTTTTGATCGATATTTAAACGCCATTATTTTCTTTTCTGATAAAGATAATCATTGGTTTGACGGTTCACTGCACTGCAGAAAATATATATGAGAAAGAAAATTTTTTAATGACGTAATTATGTTTATTTATTTTGCAACGACACTTTTGTTTATATTACATTATTTGAATAAATGTTGTTAACTTGAACAATAATTAATTAAAGTCAATACTGACGAGGTGGCCGAGGGGTTAAGGCGTTAGACTGCTAATCTAATGGGCTCTGCCCGCGTGAGTTCAAATCTCACCCTCGTCGCCAGTTTTTTTGCTTCGTTACATACTCGATTTTGTTTCATTTAACTTTGTAGAGTAGTAATAGTTCGGAGCTTTTATGTTTTAATAGCAATATTGTTCTTGTTGTCCTAGACTGAAAGGACAGGATCTAAAAATGTGAATTAACCTATATCTGTCTGTCTGTAACATAGTTACTGCATAATAAATATGGTCCAAATGATCATGTGATTACTATAGTTCAAATACTTGTAGTATAATGAAACAAAAATGCCACCGTTGCACAAGGACTAAGTCTAACTAAGGAGTAGTATCCCAACGGATACTTTTAGAAATGGTGATCATTGTTATTAAACCGTTGAATGATTCGATCTGTTATTCAATGCTATATACATGAGGATATCATGTAATAATTATAAAAAGTTAGAAAATAACTCTGAACATCAGATTATTTATGAAACGAATCGTTTTTATATGCCAAGTCATATTTGGTATTTATCTAATACATTACTTAATACACGTGTATATCTAGATGTATCTAAATGTATATCTCTATCTCATCAGTTTAGAGCCCAGTGAATCGAATCGCAATTAAAGTTACATATATTATTATCGATGACAAGTGTGAATGAAAAATTTTCACATAGATTGTAGACACAATTCGTATAATGTCATTGATAAATATAATTGGATAGTTTAAAATGAAAACAAAAGAATTTCTTTAGATAAGAAATATAGACATTTAAGATGAGTAAGAGGAAGAGATAAAAGTAACTTGATGAGTATGTAACATTTCTAATCGATTGTATAATTGTACTGCAATGAAGTAAAATATTTTTAATGAAAAACAATGCTCTTTTCTTCTTTATAACAATTAAAGATGGTTCATAAATTCGGTCCTACATATGTAAGAATCAATACAGTATATGTATGACTTGTTTTTGTAATATAATACACATGTTAGAGTTTGTATTTCGAGTGATGTTGATGGTAAAATTTGATTTTCAACATCATGATAAAGTGTACTTCAGAATTTAAATGGAAACTCTACCAATAATTAATGCCAATAGTCTTGATTTAGTTGTTAGGGTATAAGAATGAATCTATGAATGGTTATCATTAATATATATAGAAGAGTCTTCGATACAGCTCAAGGTACAACAAAAATTTAATACTTATCATGTATGAAAGAACATCGATTACTATCAATCTGGTTTATTGATAGTTTTATTTAGATAGAAGTTTTGACAACTGTTTGTTGTTGTGTGAGTCAATTCCTATATACCTCTGATGTTTCCACTGATACCGGATGAAAAAAATAGACCTATTTATATCTGTTTTCAGTAAAAGTTGTTCGTAGTTTCAAAACTCTAAATCATTTCTATGTGAATCTTGTCTGTATAATGCTGCATCTGTTTTCAATGAATGAAAGAACCATTAGTTTTGTGATATTTTAAGTTCATCAATATAAACATTATCGATCATATATGTTAAAATTTTTAGTTGAATGATACTAATCATATGATCGAACCTAATATATTTGAACTTATCTAACAAACGATATTAACTGAGAATAACATGATAGCTTATCAGCAAGCCTAAAGAGAGACTTTTAATTTCATAGTATTGTAAATTCCTGTTAAACTTAACACATAGTTGTAGAATTAATGCTTGAAATAATTTCACGAAATAGATGACGCGTCACTATTAGAATCAGAGGGAATTCATACAAATGTCGGACATTTTTTTCTGACACGAAGTCTATCGAATAAATTTACATTTAATTACTCGAAAAACAAAAAAAAAGTCTATTATAATTCTTTAGTTTTCATTCTTTGGACTTGACTTTTTTAACGTCTCAATAGATGAATTTGACTTTATGTGATGAAGAATAACGATAGACAGCATTCAAACCAGTAAAGATTAAAAAAAAATACCAAAGTGATGTATCTAGTTGGTTTTGTACAGTTATCAACAACCATAGTAAAATAAACATTTTTCGACATGTTACATAAAAGAAAAAAGAATGGTAATCTAAACTTTTTATTAACTACTTCAGTACGTTTTGATGGTATTAGCATATTTAAATAGTAAATCTTAAAAAGTACTTAAAAAAAAAATCTTCATGCGAAATAGTATAAATACTATTTCATAACTGACAATAATTTCTTACTAAAAATATTATTTTATTATATTTTTCAAAAAACAAAAAAAACAAGAGCACAGTTATAATACATATCAAAAAGAAAGATGTGTGTACACTTATCTACATCTTTCATTTAATTATGAGATAAAATTTGTTATGTTGTATTTCACGTACTATAAAGTACATAAAATCACGTATACAAATATCATTGAATAAGAGATATCTTTAATGCTAAAAATAAACTATTGAATGGCGTTTATTTTTCATTTCCATTTTGCATTTGATTCCAATGTTGTATTCAGTCTTCATTATTATTTTTCTTTTACTCCCTCGATATGTTCATAATAGTTGTTGTCGTTTACCATTTACGGATGGTGAATGTCAGGTTAATCGAAAAGGTCCACATCGATATCAAATTATGCCTGATCGTCGTTCAGGTCTTGTCATGGAAAGTACAGAATGTTATATAAATGATTTTGATACAAATTATCGAAAATTAATTACAAAAAGAAATTATTGTAATGATTGTCCTGGTTTACTTATTTTTCATACGAATTCATCGGAAATTTTCTTATTTCCAGAATATCTCGAACGTATTTTAGAAGGACGAACACAAATACAACGGTAGATAAATTTTTTTTTTATACAAAAAAAAAAAAACAATGCTTTTAAATAATTGTATGAATTTATTTATAGAAAAAATGTCGTAATATTAACAACTTCACTTACTGGAGCATATGATTTAGATTTTACATTTTTTTCACGTTATTATTCTGCTCGTCCAGTAAGTGAAGTTCCTTCACTTTATATTGATTTACAATTACCAGTATACGATCCGAAACAAGAAACACAACCAAGTTTACGTCTTCGTATACCCAATTATAATTACGATCAAGAAGGTTTATCAAAAATTAGTAGACAAGAATTAATTAATCCATTAATTAATAATGAACAGACTATGTCTAATGTTCATCAATTACCTTATATTTATCATTTCGATATAGAAAAACATCGTTATCCACCAAGTAAATATATAGATATTCTATTGAAAACAATTTTATTTAGATAATTTTCTATATTTTAGATCAATGTACTTTATATGATGTTCAAATTTCATCATCTAATCTCATTTGGAAAATTTTAGATTCTGCAGTATCAACATGTCATACATTTATGCCTTATTTTGGACAAAATAAATGTTTTGCAACAGGTTTTACACGTCTATTTTGTCCAATTGAACAGAGTATATTATTAAATGATCGTCTACAATTATTATCGTATTCTAAAACGACAAATTCTGTTGAACGTTTAACCATAGCTGTAACTGGTGGTCGTCATATTCATATGTTCTTAAGGAATGATCAAATGACACCTGCTCAACAAGTTAAAATTCTTCTTCTGCAAGGTCATTTAGTAGTGACTGATATTAATGTTAATTTACCTATACGAGTTGAATATGGTTGGAATTGTGATGATTTTAGTCTTAGTGTTCCAATAGGTTCTAGTACAACTCGATACCGTCGTTTTGATGGTGAAAATTCGGTTATTTATGAAGGAAAGAGTATTGTTCCTCTACCAGATTGCTTTCGATTAGTATCTAATGTAATAAAAATACCATCATCATCAATTATAACAAGTACTCTTAGTTCTTCTACTATTGATTTGAAATTTGATGAAAAACAAATAATAATATCAGATCTATCAGAAACAAATATCATAATTAATTTAAATCAAACAAATACAACAATAGATAATCAACAAAATATTTTATCACACTATTGGAATAATTTATCTGATTATAATAGTATGTAAAAAAAAAAAAACAAAATTTTAAATACGAAATTCATAATCAAATTTAAAAAAAAAACATTAACTGTTTAGATTTGGCTTATGGTGCAATGATTTTATTAATTTTAGTTACTCTTATTTCTTTATGTCTTTTTGTTTTCTATCGTATATATTGCAGTCAACATCGTAAATCAAAATGGACATTGGATCATGGTTCTCATACGAATCCAGCTTATAAGAGTTCTAAAGATGATCCAAGTGATATTCCAGTTTGTTCCTGTGTCAATAAATCAACTCAAACAACAGACGATCCTATTCGAATTTAAAACATATTTCTTCGTTTTTTTTTTCTTTTGCTTATAAAAAAAAAAGAATACAGAACACATACATATTAGATTTGTGTAGAAGCAAACAAATGGCAGTTAATATTTGCCGTTTGTTCGATGTGATTAGCAACGATTTCAGCATATTATTTCAATTTTATTCGGTTGTTTTGACTGTCTCTGTTTATTGTAACAGTAAAGTCGATGTGAAGAAAAAAAAAGAAGAAAGAAAAAAGAATGGGAACGAGAAAGCACAAGAGCAGTCTATGAAGTGTTATTTTATTTAAATAAGTTTTTTTTTCTTTTATATTGCTGATCTCGTAAGTCAACATACAAATAGCACATAATATTAAATGATGATGGCAGAAACTATGACATCAACGTTTAACTCATTAGATACAAAATCAAAAAGAACACATAAAAAACAAAAAGATGTTCATTATGATCTATCAACAATTTCTTCAAACAAAGTTAGTTTTGAGAATGAATAAATTTAAATTAATAAGTTTATTTTCTTAAGAACTCAGTTAATTCTTCGACAAACAATACTAATGATTGGCATCGATTGTTATTAACTCGTCTTAAGCCTGGTGTTACAGGAAAATATCGAATGACAAGAAAAAATGGCATTAAATCAGGCATAATTGTATGTGAATTATTTATTAAAGAATTATTGTTTAGATAACATGATTTTGAACTTTGTTTTGTTGATTACTCCAGCATCATGATTAAAATTTATTCCGAGGAAAACTATTCTTTTTTATTTAAAATCTACTACCCACCGTATCAGAGACAACAAAAACTAAGCAAACTGATTAAAATATGATATTTTTCTTTAATTACTTTCGATAATTTCTTTCCTATGAAATTAATTTAGTCATCAACATCGTTTGACGATTCAAATGTGATATTACGATCATACAATGATGAATCATCCATAAGTCAATCGGGTTAAAACTTATTGACTTGCAATAAGTCATTGCATTATTTCTTTTTTTTTGTATCTATAGATACATTGAAACAACTTGATTCTTCAACAGAAAATTCAATAAGAAGAGACAACCATTATGTAAAAAATTCTACGTCAAATCGATCTGATGATCATATTACTTCACTCAAGCGACGAGTCAGAAAAGTATATTAATCATACAGTTCTTTTTTGTCTTGATAATTCATATTAAAAATAATTAATTATGATTTCTTTCGTTGTTTTCTTTTGTAGCAACAAATGAGATATCTACAAAATCAAACAAGTTTTATTCAAGACATTTCATTTCAATTATCCTCATCAACTGATCTCCTGTCTATACCATATTCCAAACGAAGCAGATCACCACATCGTTTTAGAGCACCGAAAATAAGTTATGTTGTTCCATTACCATCATTAATGAATTCCACCAGAGCAGTACCAACTCATTTACATGACATTAAGTTGAACCTTTATGGATATTAATCAATACATACTAGTATTAGAGAAAAAAATTAAGAAGGAGATAGAATGATATATATTGTTTCCTTCTTACTCTTTGTTTTGATTCAACTTCATTAACAAATACAGTATGGCTATTGTAAATTTTAGTTTTTTCTCTCTCTCTTAATATTTTAATAGTTTATTTTTGTAAAATATGTTGATTACCATTTAAAATGGCCCATAATTTTGGGTAATCATTATTGGAAGATACACATACAATGGACTGCTCCAATTTTTCCAATTAGCGTATTTCTATTAGACATACAATATTTACTTTTTGCCCCGTATTCAACTCTCATGGAGAGTATCATGTTACAGTGTGACATCATTTATCTTTTTGCTATTGTTTTTTTCTTATTATTTTTTCTATTCAATAAACATGATTGGTTAATGTTAGATTTTAATTTTAGTCAGAGAATGCATCACATTTAAAATAGACAAGCGAAAAAAAAACCCGTGAAACTACATACTTATACACAGAATATTGAAGAGAAAAACATGGAGCATTTCATACAAATCGAATCTTAACAAAATACAAACTCTAATCGATGACTACATTCTATATCTCTTGATGCATTAAAAGCTACTGTTTTTCCAACGAACTTCTTGTCATAGACATTTTTTTTTGTGTGATGAGTATTAGATAAGTTATCTCAGCCGCCTGAAGATGAGCTCATACGTCATAAATCAATACCGATCTGTTCAGACCCTATAGAAACAAGAAAAACGAGTATCTATCGTGTTCTGAATCCTCCACTACGTTCAAATGTCTCTGCTGAACTGAAACTGTGGTTTTCTTATCGCACATTACTAGATTCATCATTTAATCAAGTATCACCAAAACGACTAAGGTCTTGTTGAGATATTCATGGAAACATCAATATCAAATATAAAGACGATGCTCAACTTGTTTGGGCCTATGCAACATCACGCTTCAACAATTTCGATTTCGTGCAAAATTTTCTCGATCGAATATCGATATGAAAAACCTATCGCTATATATAGTGCATAATCAGCAGAAAATGAAGTCATTCTTATTTCTAGTACACTCTTTGAAGTGGCTGACAAGTAGGTTGTGAATAGCTCACAGCATATTGTGAGAATGGAAGAAACGCAACAAATTCAAACGCATCAATAATAAAAGCTCTGTTGCATAAAATTATTCAATTGATAATCAACAAAATATGCTTAATGATTGAATCTTCTCTACTTTTTGTAAAATTTACTATAAATCAAAAAAGAAAACTCTGATTAATCATTAGAAAATACAGATAATATACTAGTTTAATTTTTGTAAGAATAGAAAATGTGATTCCACTTTTATTCATAAACGGATAAACATTCGAACTCAGTGCACTTATTGACACATTTTCAAATGACTTTATTCGTTTCTATTACCGAATGTCTTCAACTATCTACGCATCATATTGAAGTAATTAGTAAAAATTTCTGAAGACAGCATTATTTTAAATAAAAAAGGCTTCAAACCATACTCTAGATCCATTATTAATTATGCATACATCTAATTTTAGAATTCTTCTGGTGAAAAACAACAAAACAAATAAATAAGCTTCCTAATCATTTATAACAACAATTTTTATAGCGAACTAAATTGACCACTTATACGAGCAGGCCTCTATGAGATAATTCCGCTCATAGATTAAAAAAATTTCTATTGTTAACTATAGATATTGTTTTTTACTATGTAAAAAATCTAACTATAGTACAGCAGTTGCGAGCACTAATTTTTCCAGCACTAAAGTGTCCTTATACACGCCTATTCCAATGCTAGAGAAATAAGAATATAATATTTTACTTCAATATGTATTCATCTTCATTCACTATAAATTATTAAATATTTAACTGTTTCCTATTGAAACGATCAAGCTGCTGCCATCACGTACCAGACATGTGCACATTTTAATAAAAAAATGAATGATAAAACCTATATTGATGGCACTACGTGCATCTGTGATTTATGTAAAATATCTTTCATCGATATTATTTGTTCTCATCATGATGCATTAGACTATTGGCCTTCAAATGATGGACATATATTAGATCTTTCTGGCACTTACTTTTCATGCGAAAACGAGTTGTAATATGCCAACTGTTTTCAATGTGATGAAGGAAATATGGCTTCAAAAAATGTAGATTATATCAAAGGATATAGAGTCTAGTACTACACACAGCAGTGAAAAGCAGAAATACTGTTTGAACAACATCAGATACATATGGCAACATTTCCAAACTGTTTGTGTAGTTCAATTTTTTGTTCTTTTTTATTCAGAAAATCGTTTAAGTGTGATATTCAATATTTTTTCAGATACAAAAACATCTTGACCTATCTGAGAGTATTGTATATATAATGAATCATGTTGTGGAATGAGATGTTTTTATTGCTAATGTTCTAATGTATGGACACAAGTAAATGTTATATTAAGCTTAGCTGTTACTTTTACAGTTTATTGAAACTAACTTTCAAAACAGTCTTGTCCTCATGGTCAAAAATGTGATATGTTTTTAAATATTAATTCATAAGAATCTAGTTTCATATAATGTTGAAACAGCAAGAAAAATTTCAAATATATTGTCTTTTCGTGCTTACATTACGAACAAAATACAAAAGTAACATGTTGTGTTTCGCCTGAAAAGAAATTTAATTGTATTAATTGTCGTTTTTCAAGACATCTAATTTTCAGACGAATTGTAATTATAAAGAGAACACTAGTGTTTTAAGCTACTCATAACAGAAAATATTTCAACAAGTTGTATGAGTTGCAGCACGTACAATATATTTAGTACAGTCGATTATTATTCAGGTAGACCATTTAAATATATTCAGTACAAAAACATTATTTCTACAAATCAATCAGTAAAGTGCTTGAAGTTCATGACAAAGTCATACCACATCCAATCGATACAGATACAGTCGTCAAGTGACGTGTTTGAGTTGTAAACAGACTCTCAAGTATATTTGTTGTCTTTATTATCAAGTTGAGAATTATTATAAATTGTGTAGAACGCAATCACATTATTTGTGTCGTATGATAAAAAACATTTTGATATGTAGTCTTTCGAACGTTCATAGAAACTATTTTAGAATATTTTCTAACTAATAGAATTTTTTTATAATACAATAAATTATGTTAAAATAAAATTCAAGTCTTAACATCAATGTCTTATCTGATTTCTATGTTTCAGTAGGTTTAGTTCGATAATATGCATTGTGTTACTTATAGGTTTTTATTGAATTACTTGACAAAAACTCATGCATTGATCCATTCAAGATATTTTTTTATCAATAATACATTCAGACGAGATGGCCGAGCGGTTAAGGCGTTAGACTGCTAATCTAATGGGCTCTGCCCGCGTGAGTTCGAATCTCACTCTCGTCGCCATTTTTTTTGGTTTCAACACAATTCCATGCGACTTTCTTTTTTTTGCACTGTATTGAAAGAAAATGACAGGCAAAAATGATTAGCATTACTCAACAGTTTTTATTGTAGTTTTTGTTAATATGAAAATCAACTATTTATTTAATTAGTAGTTCTCTATCTATATGAGAAATTTTTTGCAAATGATTGAAAAACAACTAAACTAAAAAGAATAAACATGCTTGTTCTTTGATTGGATGATATGATGAAATGAAATGACCAATATCTATCGGATTAGATATTTTATGGATATGATAGCTTATTTCGTTCAATTATTATAGTTTTTCTTAGATTTTTGTTTTGTTCTTTTAAAATGGGTAAAAAGAATCGTGAAAAGAATACATCGATAACAACATCATCATTAGTTCGTCAACAAGATCAAGCATTTGAATATTTAACTAAAACATTCAATCGTAAAGATGGACCAATTCAGGTTTATATAATATTATTATTATTATTTGATAATATTTTTAAATCTTTTTATTTAATTAAGTCTATATGTGATATTACTCGACCACATGTCGATTCCTTTAATTGGATGCTTAAAGAAGGTTTAATGAAAGCTGCTAGTGTAAGTAGAAAAATCATTATTTTTAAATTGAATTTTATTGTATTTTTTTTAGACCATTTTACCATTAGAATTTGAAACAAATACAAAATTACGAATTAAATTAAAATTTATTGTATGTAAATCATATCTTTTTGCAGTTTTTCGTTTATAATTCTCACTTAAATCTCTTTTTTTTTTGTAGAGTTTGGAAATTGCTCGACCTAAAGTAAAAGTTATTGCCGGTGCCAATCGATTAAGTCATTATGTATATCCTGCTGAAGTATGTTTTCTTTTTCGAATAGAAACAATATAAATAATAAATTTTGTTAGGCTCGTATGGGTAAAGGTACTTATTCAGGAACATTACATGCTCGTATTCTTGCTGAAATTTTTGATCAAAATGGTAAATTAATTGGACGTGAATCATATGATCGAAATCTTGGTTCAATACCAGTTATGATTCGAGTATGGATTTAAAGAATACCCTTTTTTTTTTTCCTTGAAGGAAAAAAAAAACATTTCATTATTTAGAGTGATGCATGTAATTTAGCAAATATGAATACAAAAGAATTATGTTCTAAATATGAAGAACCAAATGAAACTGGTGGTTACTTTATAGTTAAAGGATATGAACGTATTTTACGTTTATTAACCATGACAAGACGAAACTATGTTCGTAAAAAACAAAAAAAAAACAAATTTACAATTATTTTGTTTCGACTTTTAGCCTATGGCAATGTCTCGTGGACGATGGCGACAACGTGGTCCAGGATTTACAGATCGTGGTCTTCAAATTCGTTGTTTATCAGATGATCAACGAGGCATTGTAAATTTCTGTGTTCTATTGAGAAAAAGAGGACGATTTCTATTGTCGTCAAGCTTTTGATTTTAAGTAAAGACTAAAAGAGTTCCGCTCATATAATTGTAGAAGTATGTATAGATATACATGTTTTTTATTTCTTTTCTTGAAAGATAATAATGACAAATGATTACCA